AAAAAAAAAATGTGTGGCATAAAAACATATGAGTTTCCCTATTTAACAAATTAATCTAAAGGTAGATTTAGAAAGTAAAAGATTTAAAGTACTTGAGCTGGGTGTGGTGGCGCATACCTGTAATCCCAGCACTAGGGAGGCTGAGGCATGAGGATCGTTGTGAGTACAACCAGCCTGGGCTACAAAGTGAGCTCAAGGCCAGCCTGAACTGCATAGGGAGACCCTGTCTCAAAAAAACCAAAAAAAAAAAACAAAAAAAAACAAAACAAAACAAAAAAAAACAAGATTTAAAATACTAATGAACACAAACCATATTCAGGACCTACAATAGTAGTGTGATATAAAAGATACACATAGTTTCTATTGATGACCAAGTCATCAATACGTATTGGTAATTCTGCTGTGGTTTGTAGATGCCCTGACTTGGATTCCCAGCACTAAAAAGAAAAAAAAAGCAGTCTACCCAATAACAGTTCCTCACTTTCTTGTGTCCTGCAAGAACACAAGAATTATATACACAGTTTGAGATCTTACATTTCAGCAAGAGATTAGTTCAAATAAAGATGTTCACTTTTTCTCAACTGTGTGTGGTGGCATACATCCATAATCCCAGCATTTGGGAGGCTGAGGCAGGAGGATTGCAAATTTGAGTACCACTAAGACAATTTAGCAAGACACTGTCTCAAAAAAACAGCCAGGCATGGTGGCTCACACCTGTAATCCCAGCACTCGGAAGGCTGAGTCAGGAGAATTGATGTGAGTTTGAGGCCAGCCTGGGCTACATAGTGAGTGCAAGACCCGTGTGAACTGCATAGTGAGACCCTGTCTCAAAAAGACTATAAATAAATAAATAAATAAATGGAAAAGGAAGCCAGTGATATAGCTCAGCTGCATAACACCTGCCCGGCAAGTGCAAGGTCCTGAGTTCAGTTCCCAGTACCAAAAAAAAAAAAAAAGCCTAGGGATGTAGCTCAGTGTCAATGCCCTGTGTTCAATCCTCAGTACCAGCATTTCGTGGGTCTCCTGAATTCAGGGCCATTCAGGTTACTGACTAGAGAGAGATCACATGATTTGTTACTCAGGGCTCCATGCAGATTGTCATTTGTTGCACCTCAACATTTATGACTGATTCACTCTTTGTGATGGTAATTGGTTAATATATTCAATAACGAATGTTATACATGTCCTCTTGGACTGTGCTAGTGGTCCTCCCTTTTTTTTTTTTTTTTTTTGGTGGTGGCTGGTGACTGAACTGAGGAACACTGTATTACTGAGCTGTACCTGCAGTGTTTTTATTTTTTATCTTGAGGCAGAGTCTCACTAACTCGCCCAGTCACCAAGTTGCCCGGCCTGGACTTGAACACTCTATTCTCCTGCCTCAGCCTCCCCAGTAGCTGGGATACCATGGCTAGCTGCTGTTGGTTCTTTTCCCACTCGGTTTGCTATGTCTGCCTGTAGAGTCTTGTGACTGTAGCATTTCTCCCCTCAGAATAGTAGGCAATATGGGGCACTCTGCATAACCTTGGGGTGTGTAACGCATGACCTTTGCTACGTTCTCAAACTGGAGCTCAAAGAAGCAGTGGGGATGCCTGGGATTCCTAGGGTTCACCCCAGAGATTCTGCTCAGGGGGCAGGGGTGGAGCATTCA